TTAATGTACATGTCATTAATCTGATTTTATAAACTTTCTCCCAACAAGTAGCATCTCACTCCACAGACAGTCCCCCTCATTTCAGTGGGGCTACTCACAGAGTAAGGTATTACTCAGTGTGAGTAAGAGCATGATAATCTGACCCTGTTTCAGAAGGACCTGAGATATTCTGAGATGGCCAGAAAAGGAATTTTCTTTTTCTTTCCAAGCTAAAAAGAGGTAACATTAAACACAGCTGTCAGATCCAGTTAAATTACCAGTGTATTTGATGGTTGGGGAGTGGGGTTCATGATGGAGGATTGTTCAATGCAGCCCAATTAGAAAAAACAGAGCAAAGGCAAATTTCTAGTAATGTCAGGAAAATGTTCCCAGAATTGAGGTCTGTGGAGTAGTCTTCCAAGGGACCAGGTTCAAGCTCCATTGTTTAGGAGCTGGAGAATTAAACTAGATAAAGTATTTGATTAATAGACTGTAGGCAACAATCCTCGACTAGCGGAATGGATGATCAAGTGACCTAATAGGGCTTCTTTGTCTCTCATCTCTTTAAGACATATTTGCTGAAAGGAAACAAATGAATTTTTGAACGTTTTCTCAGCAGGGAGTAAGAGCCATCTGCTATATTTGAGTTGCAGTTTGACAGCAAGGCAATGGGCTTGGGATCAGGTGTGGTACTAAGATGACACACCATACTTGGGTGGGACAAGGAGAGAAGGTATTAGCTACTTTGCATTGGATTTGGAACATACCTATGGCTGGCTGGTTCATCACAATAACTAGTGAGCAAACTCAGGAGTGTCATTTCAGAAAAAAATTATGTGATGGAAAGGCCAAAGTTGTATATAGAACATTAGATGTGATTATATTATATCCTGCAAAGTCGGGGGGAGGAGGGGGGGGCAAAAAGTGGAAGACATAATGGAGCATATTGACCCCTGAAAAGTATTTTAGGTACAAACTAAGGTCAGGGGAGGCAACTGCCCCTCGTGGCCCCCTAGCAAATGATACCCCTGAGCAAATCTTAGGGGGCATAGCTTGTTGGCTGCTCTCCAAAGCTGGAGAGGTGCTGATGATGCAGCTAGAGACACTGAGAATCTCAATGAAAGCCCCTGTAAACAGGTTTCTGCTTTAGCTGCAAAATCACAAGACCTAGGATCATTTTTAGTGTGTGTGTAATCAGTAAAATGGAAATAATAATACTTCCCTATGTCACAGGTATGCTGCAAAAATAAACTGACTAATGTGTAAAACGTGCTCAGATATTCCATTGACAAATGTTTTGGAAAAGACTATAGGCAAGCAACAGCTTTATATGTTACTTGCAGAATAAATATTGACCATTTAACTGATGAATAAGTACTATGCAGTAGCAGGATAATTAAATAGAAAAGTAGTATGTGGTTACAAATTCACTACATGATTATGTCAGTCTTTTATAAAACAGACAAGGTGGGTGAGATAATAGCTTTTATTGGACCAACTTCTGTAGGAGAGAGAGACAAGCTTTCCAGCCACACAAAGCTCCTGAATAAGGGCTCAGTGTCACTTAAAAGCTTGTCCCTCTCACCAAATGAAGTTGGTCCAATAAAAGCTATTACCTCACCCACCTTGTCTCTCGAATATCCTGGGCCCAACATGGCTACAACTATAATTTTATAGCACAGTTCAGATACCAAATAATTCACAGGTTAGTTGGCCAAATCCTAAATCCGTACTCAGGCAAAACTCCCAGCTTCTGCATTTGGCCTTATCAAGCTAGGTAGTGCAGTATTCCCAGGTAAAACCTTTGGAGGTACCACACAAGTAACTCCATGATATTTAGTGCATTGTGAAGTAGTCTAGTACGAGACAGGCAGGCCTTATCTCTGGACTGACAATCACCTAAGGAAAAGACATTTTGTAATATTTATTTAAGGCAATAGAGCAGCTCAAAGGACTGTAGGAGAATAGGGTAAAACAGTGAAAGACAAGAAGTCATTCAGTCCCTCGGCAGGCAGCAGAGTACAGCTCAATAGGCAAGCAGGACTTTGTGGGGCAAGCAGGACACCGCTCTGCTGGTAGTAGATTTCAACAACTAGGTCAGCAGGGTCCACAGCAGGGTCCAGTCAAGCAAGACAGCAGGTACAGCAGTCATACATCTGGGTACAGCTGCACCAGATAGTAGGTTACAGTTTTATAGATAGCAGGGTACAAACAAGCAGGACAGCAGGCTATAGCCCAAAAGGACAGCAGGGGATGGCAGTGCAGGCGCTCATATTCAGCATTGTAGGCAGTGGGGCACAGCAGTGCAGGCAGGTGGATATAGCAATGCAAGCAACTTGTTCTCAGTGGGATAGAATTAAGAGAAGCTGGAAAGAAAACAAACCCTTAATTTGTTTGCCAAGGTCCACTTGAAGGATTTTGAAGTTAAACTCTTAAGGCGAGAGCTGAGCAGGTTGACATGTCACTCTGGATTAGGAACTTAATCAGAGCCAGTAATCCTTTCCAGCTGGCCTTTGGAAGATTGTATTGAAATATTGCTCTATTGAAAGGTTATATTTTTTAAAAAGAGATAATCTCAGAAACATAATGCAGGGAAGACAGATCAAAATTTCAGACACTGAAAAGAACTTGTTCTTGTGTCAGGCATCCTCAAAATAGATACAGTGGTCTAGAGTTTTAGAGAGCACTATAGCTAAGTGAAGATAGCGCCTTTATTTGAAACAAATACTGTAAGGTTAAAATAATATATTCTTAAAATACATTTAACTTTGTTTCTGTTACTAACTGCATCTTGAGTATTAAAAGCAAAAAAAAATCAACAAATCTAAATACTTTACACTGTGCCATTTGCTTACTTTATGCACTTCTCCCACCTGGGCATTGAAAAATAGGCCGGTCGGTTTCACTTTTGTTTCTAGTCAGTGCCTAGCCAATTTCATTTTCAGGCTCTCATCCACTAGCATGTTGTTGCAATGTTTGAATTGCAAGCCCCTCTGGGGAATATTTATTTGTATAAAATGTCATGTTTCCACAGAAACAACATCAGTGGTGTATTTGATGATAGATTGTTTTTACAAAATGTAAAATTTGACCAGACATTTTCCATTGTCCAAACCATGTAACTCTTCCAAATAAGGTCGCAGCTCAGCAAGGTATTTAAACACATGCCTGTCTTTAAGCATGTGAGTTGTCCCTTTGGGGTGGATCCTCAGCTGGAGTAAATTGTTATGGCTCCATTGACGTCAGCTGAGGATCTGTTCCATTGAATTTAAGTTGTATGTGGCTAAGTGCCTTCTGAACTGGGCCCCTAAATGAGGTCATGATTCTGCATTGGGATCGGCTAGTATGGAATGCCTTTAAAGGAACCACGCACTAGTGATCCCACTCCAGGATCAGGGCCTAAAAAGTGAAGTGGTGGTAGTGGTGTTGACAACTTAAAAACATGGTATGAGAGATGCATATTTCCACTTTTAGCCTCCAGTTTAACTCAATTCTATATAAGCAGTGATCATAAGTCATCAGATATCATAGTCCTTACTCACCCAAATAGTTCCATTGACTTCAGTAGGACTACCTGTGTGAACATGGATATAGGTGTGAGCAGTAAAGGTTGGAGGATTGGATGCTGCTATCTGTTAGTTGTTAGCTATCCTGTGGTGTGTGAAGTGAGTTGGTGGTCTCAGTGCACTTTCTATGGCCAATTGTCCACATCAGGATCAGGGCTGAGGCACATAGTAGGGCTGTGTGGGGAAGTGTACAGTGCCCCTACCTATGCTGCTTCTGTCCTGTAGATAAACAGAGGGACGGCCATTTTTAGGGATCTCAATCCAGTACCTGTCATGAGCACTCAATAGTTTAATCCCATCCCCTTCTGGATAAAATCAGAGTATGCATGTTAATCAGTATTACTGTGTATTTTTATTACACCCAAAATGTGTAAGGTGCTTTATGAACATATAAGCAGATAGACCTCACCCAAAAGAGTTTATAATCTCAATAGGCAACATACAGGCAAAGGAGTGTTTGGGGTCAGGGGAGTATAGAAAGCATAGTGCAAGCATCCTTTACGCAGGCCTGCCAGTGTACCTTACTTCTCAGTACCCTTCTCCCTAATTCCATTTCCAGCCTGGGCAAAGGTTACCAATTGCGCAGTGTTGTATGGCAACTTTGCTGTGTGGGTAAATATCTCAGTTTACACTGAGGTCACCAAATTGATTTTATTTGTAACTAGAGGTACTTGAAAACTGGTGAAAATCTATTGCATTTGCACACAGTCCCATCCATACTTTAATGTCTCTCCCAGTATCTTTAGTCGTACCAAATGTGGCTCTCTGAGGATTAACAGTTGTCACACACTCAGATCTTTACAGTAAATGTGGCAATAGAATCAAATATTTTTCATCCAAAAGCCTAGGCTCCTACCACTTGAACTAAAGGAAACTCTCCTTTAGTTGTTAGCTGTATAGAGCCTATGACACACAGCAGATCTGTTTCAATTCTGTCCAGTAGAGGGCAATGGCATACATACACTAGCCATTTCATTACTCTATTATTACCCCCAATTTAAGATGGTACTATGTTGTAACCTGTGTCTGTTTAATTCAATCATGGAATTCGTTTCATGGAAACATTTGCTTATTTTACAATATGGGTGAAATTTTCTCTCCTGAGTCCTGAGTAAAGTGGCAGCACAAAGCCTATGCAGCACATAAATCTCACTTTAAACCCTGATCTGAGGGCTTAACTGGGTCTGAAGTGGTGCATAGGTCTTTTGCTGGCCCTCTGCACAAGGGTGAATTGTATTCTTTGTGATTGTCCAGATATCTTATTGGCATGACATAATTTCTATCTACTATGGTATTTCATACTTTGGGAAAGCATCTACCAGTCATTAATGACCGTAGATTTATGCCTCTTAACATCCACATGCCTCGTACATTTTCACCATTGTTCGTTTTGGAGTATTTCACTTACCTACAGTGCTCTCTTTTTCCCCCTCAGGTGATCCAGTTCCTGCCAGAATGGACGTGCTGACGTCACCAAGCATGGGCCTGCACACCATACCAGAAGAAATCCAGTACCCGTATACTAAATTTTCTGAATGGAAGTTCAAGCTGTTTAAAGTGAGATCATTTGAAAAGGCACCTTCTGGAGACAACCAAGTGGAAAATAAAGAGAAAGCAGAGAAGGAGGCTTCTTTGGACAATGGCACTCTGATGCAGATGGATGTGGCAGTTCCAGTGGTAGAAAAGCCACTTCTGGCAGATACAGACTTAAATCACAATAAGCAGGCTCTTGAAAAAGATGCTGACAACCTGAAAATACAAGAGAATGCAGCTCATCAAGCAAACCTGCAGCAGCTCTGCCGCATCTGTGGAGTTTCATTTAAAACTGATCGCTACAAGAGAAGTCATCCAGTGCATGGACCAGTGGACTGTGAAACTCAGGGACTTCTGAGAAAGAAAGAGAAAAGAGCAACATCTTGGCCGGATCTGATTGCCAAGGTTTTTAAGATTGACGTGCGAGGAGATATCGACACAATCCACCCTACTCGGTTTTGTCACAACTGCTGGAGCATCATCCACAGAAAGTTCAGCAACGCCCCATGTGAAGTGTATTTCCCGAGGAATAGTACCATGGAGTGGAAGTCCCACTCCCCAAACTGCACTGTTTGTTATACTGCTCGTTGTGGGGTCAAGAGAAAGAACCAGCCATCCAATTTACAGCTGGGCAAAAGGCTCAAGATCATTGCAGAACTAAAAACTAAAGGTGCCCGAAAAACTAAAGGTGTAAAAAAACAAGTACAGGTGAACAACAAAAACCTTATGAAAAAGATTGCCAACTGCAAGAAGATACATCTTAGCACCAAACTTCTAGCAGTTGACTACCCTGCAGATTTCGTTAAGTCCATCTCTTGCCAGGTCTGTGACCATATTCTGGCAGACCCAGTGGAAACGACATGTAGCCACTTATTCTGTAGAACCTGCATCCTTAAGTGCCTCAAAGTTATGGGCAGCTATTGTCCTGCCTGCCGATACCCTTGCTTCCCTACCGACCTGGTGAGTCCAGTGAAATCCTTCCTGAACATCCTCAATTCCTTGGCTGTGCGATGCCCAGTGAAAGAATGTGATGAGGAGGTTTTGCTGGGCAAATACTGCCATCATTTGTCCAGTCACAAAGAGGTGAAAAGGAAAGAGATTTACACGCACGTAAATAAAGGTGGCCGACCGAGGCAACACTTACTCTCATTGACCAGGAGAGCGCAAAAGCATCGTCTGAGAGAACTTAAGCTTCAAGTCAAAACTTTTGCTGAGAAAGAAGAAGGAGGTGATATAAAGGCTGTGTGCCTAACTTTGTTCCTGCTGGCTCTGAGAGCAAGAAATGAACACAGACAAGCAGATGAGTTGGAAGCTATAATGCAAGGAAAGGGATCAGGGCTTCACCCAGCTGTTTGCCTGGCAATCCGAGTCAACACCTTTCTCAGTTGTAGCCAGTACCATAAAATGTACAGAACGGTAAAAGCTATAACTGGGAGGCAGATCTTCCAGCCATTGCATGCTCTCCGCACTGCTGAGAAGGCACTCTTGCCAGGTTATCATCCATTTGAGTGGAAACCCCCTTTGAAAAATGTGTCCACTAATACAGAGGTGGGAATTATAGATGGACTGTCAGGCCTGCCACACTCAGTTGATGACTACCCAGTAGACACGATTGCCAAGAGGTTTCGATATGATGCAGCCTTAGTTTCTGCCTTAATGGACTTGGAGGAAGACATTTTGGAAGGCATGAAAGCACAAGACCTGGATGACTACTTGAATGGCCCATTCACTGTTGTGGTGAAGGAGTCTTGTGATGGGATGGGAGATGTCAGCGAGAAGCATGGAAGTGGACCAGCTGTCCCTGAAAAGGCAGTTCGATTTTCTTTCACACTCATGAACATCACTATAGCTCATGGTAATGAAAATGTAAGGATCTTTGAAGAAGTCAAGCCCAATTCAGAGCTGTGTTGCAAGCCCTTGTGCCTTATGCTGGCTGATGAATCGGATCACGAGACTCTGACAGCCATCCTGAGCCCTCTCATAGCAGAAAGAGAGACCATGAAAAGCAGCGTTCTGCTTCTTGAAATGGGAGGCATCCTCAGAACATTCAAATTCATCTTTAGGGGTACAGGGTATGATGAGAAACTTGTCCGTGAAGTGGAAGGCCTTGAAGCCTCAGGCTCTACTTACATATGCACCCTTTGTGATGCAACCCGCCTGGAAGCCTCTCAGAACTTGGTCCTCCACTCCATAACAAGAAGTCATGCTGAAAACCTGGAGCGGTATGAAGTATGGAGGTCCAACCCATATAATGAATCTGTTGATGAGTTACGTGACAGAGTGAAGGGTGTTTCTGCCAAACCTTTTATTGAGACTGTTCCTTCCATAGATGCATTGCATTGTGACATTGGCAATGCGGCTGAGTTCTACAAGATATTCCAGTTTGAGATAGGTGAGGTGTACAAGAACCCTGACATATCTAAAGAAGAGAGGAAGAGGTGGCAGTCGACTCTTGACAAGCACCTTAGGAAGAAGATGAACCTGAAGCCCATAATGAGGATGAATGGAAACTTTGCTAGAAAGCTTATGACCAAAGAGACAGTGGAAGCAGTATGTGAATTAATAAAGTGTGAGGAAAGGCATGATGCACTAAGAGAACTGATGGATCTTTACCTTAAGATGAAACCAGTGTGGAGATCTTCATGCCCAGCCAAAGAGTGCCCAGAATTGCTGTGTCAGTATAGCTTCAATTCACAACGTTTTGCTGAGCTCCTGTCCACAAAGTTCAAGTACAGGTATGAGGGCAAGATTACAAATTATTTTCACAAAACTCTTGCTCATGTTCCTGAAATTATTGAAAGAGATGGCTCCATTGGTGCCTGGGCAAGTGAAGGGAACGAGTCTGGGAACAAATTGTTTAGGCGTTTCCGAAAAATGAATGCCAGGCAGTCAAAATGCTATGAAATGGAGGATGTCTTGAAGCACCACTGGCTGTATACCTCTAAGTACCTGCAGAAGTTCATGAATGCCCATAATACATTGAAAAGCCAGGGCTTCACAATCGATCCAGGGCAGAGTTTTGAAGACTCTCTGCCATTGGAAGACTCTTTAGAAATGACTGATTCTATGGAATTCTAAACATAACGATAATTTGAATTGGGTTTGCAATTAAGTCTTCCTAGACAGGGTGCAGCAAGGCCTGCAAATATCACTTTTACACTGAGTGTTAAAGGGAATCTGTCCCTGCTCAGAGGAGTTTGGTAAACATCTGGATGGTAGTTTCCAGAAAATGGTAATGCAGAGTTACTGGTTGGTGTCATTTTCCAGCCATTTTGTGAGGTAAAAGTGGAAAGAAAGGTGATTAATTTACTTTGGTCTCAGATTATTGTTTAATAAATAGCCAAAGTGAACCAAAGTTTTTAGACTATGTGATATGTGTGAAATGAAGAGAATTCAGAAGAGTTATGACAGTTACAAAGAAAGTGAAGATGGTTTTTTTTCTGTTTGCATCATTGCATTTTATTTACTATTTAAGAATAGTTTTCCTTTCTTTAATTGATGGCCTCTTGCTTCTTAAAAGTAAAGATTCAACATGGAGACATTTAGACAACCATTCTGAAGTACAGAGTCAGTATTTTTTGTATAACACATTGAGTCAAGCTCCAAAGGTTGACCTCACCAACAGTTTAAAATATTATTATTTTATTTAACATTTATATTGTGGTAGTGCCTAGAAACCAGTCAGGTGTGGGGCTCATTGTGCTAGATACTGTACAAGCACAGAGAAAAATTAGTCAGTATTTTAAAATAATAATTATAACCTAGTCATTTTGTTCTACAATGCAAGCTTGTGCATAAGCTTTGAAATCAGACCTTAAAATGAAATATTTTTTGTCTCTGTACATTGTATACTTTCAAGCTTTGTTATAAACTTTGCTAACAGCTGGCACCCACAAGGCATTTTGTTCAATAGGCAATCTGTACTTCCAAGATTAGATCCTAACCGGTGTATATCATCTTAGCTCCACTGGGTGAAATCCAATGAACACACTGTCACAATTCATATTGACTTCAACAGAGGCAGAATTTCTCCTATTGACCTTAATGAAGCTACACTTATATACAGCAGCCAAGGATCTGGCCTATAGTGGTTCCCCAGTTCTGTATATTGCTATTATGCTCTTCTATAGGGTATATTTCACAGACTAAGGGAACCTTTTATTGTGTTCTAGTCCTGGTTCTGATATAGACACTGCTGTCTGGAGCATGTCATTTAATTTCTCTGCCTCAGTTTCCATTCCTATAAAATGGAAATAGTTTTTACGTATTTCACAGGCAAGTTGAGATAATTATTTAGTCAATAATGGAGAACTGCTTTGAAAATGAAATTGCTATTTAAGTGCTAAGCATTATTACTTCAATATTTAGACAGCTCATAAGAATAGTTTACATTGTACTAGGGGCATCATTTAAATGGTGGCAATTTTCTTGTACACTGATATTGCTAGATGCCTTATATATATCATAAAAATAGATCAGATAGCACAGAAAACTTGACTCTTACAGGTGATAAATATCCAGTCTTTAATAGTGACCATGGGTAAAATGATTTTAACATATTAGTTGAATATTTATTAAAAATGTTGTGAAATTTGGCAACCAAATTATTCCTGAACATACTCATTAAATTAAAAGCATAGTTTTATGACCCTGATGTGGCAAAGCACTTAAGCACATGCTTAATTTTAAACATGTGAATTGTCCCATTAAACTCAGTATGTCTACTTGGAGGATTAAAGTTAAGCATGTGCTTAAATGCCTTGCTGGTTGGGGTCCAAATTTGGGAGACTGTTTTTTAATTAATTGAATAATATTTTTTTTAATTATAAAATTAATCAGATAAATTCTTCAGGAAATATAATTCAAAAGTACCTAAGTGACTGGGAGTTATGCTCCTAAACACTTATGCTCTTTTGATAATCCCACACTGAATGCTCATTACGCAATGATTAGCTGAGGTATTTTAATATTTGGAGAATTATATATGACACAGGATGAAATGCACAAATAACTACTGCACATGGTTTTTTTTTTTAAGCAATTCAATTCTGCTTTTATTTTCTGTTTTGACATTACATTGGCTCATTGGCAATTAAACTGTAAAGAGCTAATAGTTTTTATCTTTTGTAGTAGTTTTTAGTTGTGATTATATACTGTATCTTTTAGAATTTGGTATTTACGATATATAGACAATTTATAGGGAGAATTAAGTGCTAGTAATTCCTAAATATATTTTAGTGTTATTCTGACTGATTATTCTGATTTTATTGGATACAATATCTACTTCTCATAAAAGAGTTTTATAATTTAGATTTCACACTTCATATCATTTCCTTAAACAAACTTTAAGCATTCCATCAGAACTTTGGGTTGCCAATATTTAATACAGGGTTTTTTGGAAACTACATGCTTCCAAATAATTTTTCAGAAGTACTGCAAAAAATGGTGCCTTTTATATATGTTGCAGTATAATTTTCCATTTATAGCATAGTGCTGATTTTGATCATTTTAATTCTTTTTCTTCCCAGATCAATTTTTTAACTCTTTATAGACTATAACAGATATTTTCCATAATGTATAAATGTCAGTTTTACATAATGTAGCAATCTTTTCTAATACATTCAGAAACCAACTCAAACAATATTTTTGGTTTGTTTTGGAAATATTTCATCATGCAAATATGCTGTATCCATTTTTTTGCATGTTTATTTGCTGTGATTATCATATACCGTGTGTTTTATACTTGAATCTGTTTCATTACCACAGCGCCCAATCTAGCAACCCTCACTCATGGTGAAATTCATCCCTTTGCTGAGGGCCAGCATAAGGCAAATGCAACATTTAAGACTAGTCCTTAAAGTAGAGTTCAAATGGGATCTAAGTAGTGTATGCTAGCCCTCTGCACAGGTGACCAGATGTCCCGATTTTATAGGGACAGTCCCAATTTTGGGGGCTTTTTCTTATATAGGCACCTATTTCCTCCCACCCCGTCCCGATTTTTTACGCTTGCTATCTGGTCACCCTACACAGGAGTGAATTTCACCCACATGTAGTCCTTACTCACATATGTAGTTCCATCCAAGTCAGTGGCCCAAATTCTGCTCCTTTTGCGCAAATTATCTCAGTACTTTTACTGAAATTCTCAAATCAAAAAATGACTTCAACAAACTGCTTATGTAAAAGCAAGTGGGTTTTGACTCATTGACTTCAACAGGACCAAGCAAGGATTACTCATGCACTTAAGGATTTAGAAGACTGGGCACATACTCTGGGGAAGTTCAGTACACGGAACAGTACATAGACTGGGACTTAGGAGTGCAATGGAATTTAAACATATTCTTTTGTGAAATAACCGTGTGGAACAAGTTACACTATTAAGCCAGCAAGACGTATTACAAATACTAGCAACTATGTATAGTTTGGCTGGCATTCATCAGAAAGGCAATTGTTATTTTTATTTTTTATAACGAACTTGAATTTAGTTTCATCTCTTTTTTCCGTTGTTGTCATGTTATTTAAATCAAGAGACTTTCTGCTTGAGAGTGTTGAACTCATTAAACCAAACAATTCAAATGCTAAACACCTGCTGCAAGTGAAGCTTTTGTACACAGAGACTAGAAAAACAATACTACAGACACACAGGCGTGCATCTGAATGCAAGTGATTCTTGATTGCTAAAAGGTGCACTGTGTTTTCTCTCCATATTTGAGAAATGACCTATCATTAAGCTGTTTGATTTTGAAGTGGCTTTAAACAAGTGGAGACACTTGTATTCATTTTATGCTTTCAAAAATCACATTTTTTTCTAATCTAATAATTAGTGTAAACACCTCAAATGATTACTTTGTGGGCAATGGTTTTCTTGTTGTGAAAACTGTATTGAACTCTTGCTGTTTTTTATACAATCAAATTCTATATCTTCCTTTGTTTAAAGTTTCTGTAAGGATTTATTAAAGGCATATTCAGTTGTTGTGCTGTGAAATGTTGTATCTACGGTCCTGATTCTGGTCTCAGACCATTTTTCCCCCCAAAGGATAATCGCCATTGACTTTAATGGAATCAGTCCTGATTTATGCTGGAGTAAAGGACTTCAGAACCAGACCCTAGATATTTGCAACACCATAATTTCTGATTTGAATAAGATGTTTTCAGTGCATTGTAACACAGCATTTGTCTACGGTTTTTATTGTTACTTCTTGTGTCCCAGTTTCTTTATTTTTAAAATTGGTTTTAAATAAAGTTCTTAGAAATAGACTTTGGATTTGTATGTCTCAGACAGTTTTTTAGCTGTGCAAACAATTTAATGACAATCACCTTACATTTATTCAGTTCCTTTCATTCAAATCGTGAGTATTTGTCAACATTTACATTATAGTAAAGCAAAAAGCCCCAGGCAGGATCAGGGCCCTGCTGTGGTAGTCGTTATACAAACACATATGAAGATTCCCCCTGAAGCCCAAAAGCCCACTCCAGCCCCTCACTCCATAGGGCATTGCATGCACTATGGCACAGTTGAAAACTCTTTTACTTTTCCTGGAATCTCCTACTGCTTCATTTAGAAATGACATCTGATCTCTGTTTAAATTCATCCACCTTGCTCTGACCATATTCAGCCCTTCTTCAAGTCTCTCCACTGGCTTCCTCACATCCTCTGCTTCAAATTCTAGCTCCCCATCCTTGACTTCAAAGTCAACTGCAAAAATTAACTTTCACCTACCTCTTAGTTCTTGTGTCTTTTCACTGCCTCCATTAACATTTGACACAAAATGGTGGGTGGAAAAATTGAGGCCATGTTAAAAACAGCCCAACGAGTCTCCTGTGATTTTGGATTAGCTTAATTCCTTGGCTGGGTTTCACTTTCCACATATACTTATAGCATCAGAATCATGGGGGAACCAGAGGATAAAGAGCGCTTGTAAGGAGGTAGAACCCCTTTCATCTCCAGGGCACTGGTTCAAATCACCAGTTGATGTTTGGTGGCCTGATTAAATTTGACCTGATTTGCAAAGGTTTTGAGCACCAGCAGCTCCCAACAACTCTGGTGCTTATTACCATTGAAATCAGGCCAAATTGTTCTTAGTACTGTCTACATCATACAAATATCAACATCTTAAAACTATACCATTCAGAAAGCAGTAATTGGCCCCTGTGGCAGTCTCAGGAGATGGACCAAGAAATGAAGATGCTTGGAGTTTGAACTACCTTCTCAACCTAAAAGGTAGTCATTGTGATGGTGTAACATGCTAGCTTTGTGTTTATGAGTACACCACAAAGAGACTAAGGTACCTACTACTGCTATGAGGTAAAGAAGTTTATTGGCTCATGTGGTATAGAGTCCTGTGTGTCGGCCTACCGCCCCCACCCTACAGATATAGGTGAGTGTCAGAGATGGAGGTTTATAAAGTAATTGGGGCCTATATTTATCAAAAAGTGACTAGTGAGTTTGGGAGTCTCAATTTTTGAGGCCCAAACTGAGATGCCTTAATGGCAATGGGGCCTGATTTTCAGAGGGCTGGTGCTTAGCAA